CTTGTCTTAGTTATTATTTTGCTGATATTTATTGTGATACAGCAAACATTCCATTTCTTTGCTTGTTGTTATGTACTGTGTTGTGGTAGAAATTTACGTTTTTATCTTGTATTCGTTTTCTGTGTAATTCTAGGCCATCTTGTTCTTCTCTGGTATATTCTAACATTAATATTGTTAATATTAATATATGTTTCGATGAATATTCCTATTACCTTTTGCTTGATTTTGTAATAACTTAGTGAGCCATGGTATATATTTTTGTTTTTTTGTTATTATCTTATTGCTTACAGAACTACGGAAGGTTTTTTGTTTTATTATCATGTTCATATTTATTGTTTTAATTCTGTTTAATTTTGTAATAACTTAGTGCGCCATGGAATGTATTTTTTGTTTTTTGTTATTATCTTATTGCTTACAATACTATGGAAGGTTTCTGTTTTATTATTATGTTCATATTTATTGTTTTAATTTTGTAATAACTTAGTGCGCCATGAAATGTATTTTTTGTTCTTTGTTATTATCTTATTGCTTACAATACTATGGAAGGTTTCTGTTTTATTATTATGTTCATATTTATTGTTTTAATTCTGTAATAACTTAGTGCGCCATGAAATGTATTTTTTGTTCTTTGTTATTATCTTATTGCTTACAGTACCACGGAAGGTTTTTGTTTTATTATCATGTTCATATTTATTGTTTTAATTCTGTTTAATTTTGTAATAACTTAGTGCGCCATGGAATGTATTTTTTATTCTTTGTTATTATCTTATTGCTTACAATACTATGGAAGGTTTCTGTTTTATTATTATGTTCATATTTATTGTTTTAATTCTGTTTAATATTGTAATAATTTAGTGCCCCATGGAATATATTTTTTGTTCTTTGTTATTATCTTATTGCTTACAGTACTATTAAAAGTTTATGGAAGATTTCTGTTTTATTATCATGTTCATGTTTATTGTTTTAATTCTGTTTAATTTTGTAATAATTTAGTGCTCCATGGAATATATTTTTGATCTTTGTTATTATCTTATTGCTTACAGTACTACGGAAGGTTTTTAATTTATTATCATGTTCATATTTATTGTTCTAATTCTGTTTAATTTTGTAATAATAATAACAAAGAACAAAAAATACATTCCATGGCGCACTAAGTTATTACAGAATTAAAACAATAAATATGAACATAATAATAAAACAGAAACCTTCCATAGTATTGTAAGCAATAAGATAATAACAAAGAACAAAAAATACATTCCATGGCGCACTAAGTTATTACAAAATTAAACAGAATTAGAACAATAAATATGAACATGATAATAAATTAAAAACCTTCCGTAGTACTGTAAGCAATAAGATAATAACAAAGAACAAAACTATATTCCATGGAGCACTAAATCTTATTGCTTACAGTACTACGGAAGGTTTTTGTTTTATTATCATGTTCATATTTATTGTTTTAATTCTGTTTAATTTTGTAATAACATAGTGCGCCATGGAATATATTTTTGTTCTTTGTTATCATCTTATTGCTTACAGTACTACGGAAGGTTTTTAATTTATTATCATATTCATATTTATTGTTTTAATTCTGTTTAATTTTGTAATAGTTTTGTGCGCCATGGAATATATTTTTGTTCCTTGTTATTATCTTATTGTTCTGTTTCATTATCATGTTAATATTTGTTGTTTAATTGTAGGTATTCTCACTCTTCTATGATAATATCATATTTTCTGTGTTCTTATTTACTGTATTATGGTAAACTAGCAGATATTCCCGCCCCTCCGGGCAGGTATAACTGCTAGTTTCTGCGGAAGGCTATTGGGTCTGAGGCCTATTCTGAAATTGTCTGACAGTTCTACAACAATGTACTCATACTTGACATTCAATAATGCTAACCATCTTTAAGAAAAATTATTTTATTAAAAGTTTAGTTTAAAAATGAATTATCATCACAGAGTAGTTTTATTGAAGTATTTCTTTGTAGATGCAGTTATCAATGAAAGTGCCTTGCTTTTCTGTTGCAACAATTATGAGATTTTCACTAAAGAAAAACTGTTACGTATTAGAATTTCTGAGTTTAGAGTTAACTGATAATTTAAATTTAGTAGTTAAATAGTACTTTGGATTTAATATTTAAATATATGCCGATATTGTAGTCAATTTACGATATTTCCCGATATTTTAGTCAATTTACGATATTTGCCAACAAAATTGATACACACCGTTTTCGTTTTTAACACAAATACGTTTTAATATACACACAACAGTACAATTTACAATAACAATTATTACAAATAGTTATTACAAACAATGATTTATAAACAGAAGTTTCAAAAACTTACAAAAAAATAAAGTTTTCTTTCTAGTCTGAAACCTCCTTGATATCTTATCGAGGGTTCACGATGAGCCAATTAATTATGAGTTGATGTAGATACGATCCGCTGGGAAGTTAGCAAGTTTTGTCCTTTGCCACACACACTAGGTTTTCCAAGATGAATTTATATGTCTCCGTAAAATTGCTAATGTCCGATGAAAATCCACTGAAGTTAAATGATTAGTAACGTTCGAAATTTATAAATATTCCTGGTCAAATATCTGAAGTTTTCCGATTGATAAGCGTTATAACTATCACAATTATAGCTTCCGAAGTTTTATAGCACAACGATTATAGCGAACTAACAATAGACACTCTCCTTGGCGCGTCGCGTTGGTTATATTTATATCTGTGGGGAGGTTTTCTCGAAAATTCAGTCTTACGTAACAATACTGGTTAAAACGTTTACATATATATAGATATATTGTTGATTCTTACTCTCGAGACTCTTCTAAAATTTTGGAGAATAGGCGGGAGTTTCGCAATACCTATATAACAGTATAAGCTACGTATGTTTCTAAATATATAGTTAATCTAAACAACGTTCATATTAAAATAAATACATAACAACAAATTCGTTACAGAAACAAATAATTTTTTAAAGTTTGTTTTATATTTGAAACTTACTTTTTTGTAATTTTTTATTGGTTAAATCTGAAACGTGATTTTTCTGGAAATTTCAATTGTTTTATTTATTGCTTAGCTATAAAATACTGCCTAGTTATATGAATATTCAATGGACGTATATATCGCAAACTCCATTATAATAAGATATTCCTTTTTCCTCGGGTATTTTCTATTTATTGTTCCCTCTGTTATTGTTGTCATTTTTCCATTTTTGTTCAATATTCACAGTGTCAAATTTTTCTTGTTTATGACTTAAAGTTTTAAGGTAGTCATTACTAGTTAAGGACATTTCTGTTTTTCATTGTGTTGTCACGGTAACATCGTGTTGGTTTAATTGTGTTAAACGTACAATTCTCATACTATTCATCCACCCTTAAAGCCTTTTTTTAACCTATAATACAAATATGTTTGAATGTTTCTGTCACCATAGTTCCAAATCTACAAGTATAAATTATTACAAACACAAATGATTTGCAAATGTCGATTTTGACGTAATATGTTCATCAAGTTATGCTATGCCAGTGTTACATGCTAGACATACATGTGTCACAATAAAATTTTTATTTATATATATAAAGAAATACTTGTGATAAGCTATGTGTAACATAAAATAATGTCATGTTGCACAATATTTGTTATGCACTAGAAATACCCGCTCTTCAATATGTGTTTTTAAAGTTGCTACATATAGAGCAATAGTAATTATCAGCTTTTGGTGTTGAAATTATTGCCATGTAACTCATTGAACATTAAATATAACAGATATTGTTTGGTTGTGATTCACAAATAAATAAACAACAATTACCGTCATTCTTTGTTATGACTATAAGATAGTACGAACTACAAGAAAATTATTTTAAACACTGACTGTATATAACACGATGGATGATAAGATAAAGATCACTAGTTAAGGTGACTCTAATTTTCGGTAATGTCTGATTTAAAGATTGTTATTGTTCGAACAGAAATGTTGTTAGAAAATATTTCATCCAAACTGTGATGTGTGAAAGAACAGTATGCTTAAGAAAACTGCTATCTGAAATGAAAAGTTTCTTATGCATATTGTTTCTCAGATCTTTGTTATAAACGTTGTTTGACTTAAGATACATTATTTAGAAATTGTCTGACCTTAAGTTTTTCTCACAAGGTATTGTTTGAATTGAGATATATGATTAAAATAATAGTCGTGTAGCCGGAGAAGTTTGTTATAATTTGAATAGAGATATATGTTTAAAAAACTGCTGCCTGAACAGAAAAATTTGTCATGACATTGTTTAAATTGAGATATATACTTAAGAAAACTTCTGTCTAATCAGAAATGTTTCTATGAGACACGCGCTCAAGAAAACTGCTGCCTGATCAAAAAAGTCTGTCATAGCATTGTTTGAATTAAGACATATGCTTAAGAAAACTGCTGTCTGATCAGAAAGATTTATGACATTGCTTGAATTGAAACGCATTGTTAATTGAACTAGAACGATATTTTCTGAGTAAGACAGAAAAGTAAAACTATTTCTGGCTACAAGACATCACGTACGCTAGGTATCACTTTCACATTTTTTTACTACTCCGTGTAAGAATACATAGTAAAATTATAAAAGAATGAAACCAGAATGAAGTGGTATTTCCTGATGTGACAACAATTTTATTTATTTTTGTTGTTGTTGAAATGATACGACCCTATCTGCCTACCGCTCATTGGTAAGTCTGTCGGATTATGACGCCGAAGATAGAGTTTAGATACCCGTGGTGGACAGATAGCCCATTGTATAGCTTTGCAATTAACAACTAACAAACAGAGAAAATGATATTAATGTAAAATGTTCACAGGTTTAAAACTAAGTTCTTTGGTAAGGTGCTAATTTTAGTAAGGTCTTTAGTATTTTTTTCTCCCAGAAACTGTTTATTAATAAATAGTATTAGAAAAAAAAACTTAAGTTTATTCATTTAACAGTGTGTATTACAGCTGATATCATCTTCTATATATTTACACAGAATAAAACGGAACCTGGGATCCAGGATATGGAAGGAAACACTGCACTGATGTACGCTGCCACACGTGGTCATGCTAACGTTATCTCCATCTTTACAAATACATTCAAACATCAACGAAGAGCATTACATTTAGGCCAGAAGAACAACCAAGGACTGACAGCCTTACAATTGGCTTCAAAAAACAAACATGACGGTTGTGTAAGACTGCTTACCAGAGAAGCACAGCAGTTTCCAAACAGTCTTGTTGGAGAATTTCCAGATCCCAAAGAACTTGAAAGAGCACCCACACCAACGAAGAAGAAGCACAAAGGATTAAAAATTAATTTTTTTTCATCCGTAGGAAAAGATGAAGGACGTGTTATAATTCCTGAAGAAAAAATTTGTTTTTCTTCTTCAAGTAGTAAGGAAACGGCAGAGGGAGAAAAGAAGAATCCTCTTGACATAAACTCGCGTGTTGACGCCTCCCCTCTACCAGATATAAAACGATTGTGTTCAACTGGGTCTTTACAATCGGACAACAGTGTTTCTCAGCTCAAACCCAGGAAAGACACTTCACTTCTTCACACACAAACAAAAACAGAAGACACGGAGCTTATAATGTCATCTGCAGAAGAACTTCAGGGTGTAAATAAAACCGAACAAAGTGATCAAGACCCTGTCAAAGAAGGTGAAGTTATGACCGCATCGTCCAACTCATTCTCGTCTGGACTAACGTCTGATAAATATTCCATACTCCCCCTTATTACACTTCGCTCAATTGGCCACATAGATGCATCAGTGTCTAGTACTACAAGTGAACCATGGGACTGGGATCTTTCTGTTCGTAGCAGACTGACAGGAAAATACCGTTTGGATACTGGAAGCCGGAGTTTGTCCGAATCTCGTGGAAAACTTACAGACAGTCTAGAAGGTATGAAAGAAAAACCATTCAGTAGTTCTGACAAACTTCACGAAGTCTTGCCAAAGGAATGTTTGTCTCCTAGTCCGTCTGAAGATAAGACATCAACTTCTTCATCCAAAGTAAGATCGTCTGAAGGTATCAGCATTCTACCTCCTCTCTTTCCTGGATGCAAAGATGGTGTACACCTTCCACCTATCAGAAGCAGTCTAACACATTATAAGCGTGGACATGTAGTGTCTCCAGCTACTGTAGAACACAACTCTATCAAAGAAGAGATGGATCAGAGCGACATTATTCAAACACCAAAATCAGAGTTTACACCAAAGGGAATTAAAACATGACCAGATTTTACTTAACAAAAAGTGCTCTTTAACTTATCTTCTCACATATTGTGTAGTTTATCTAATATTACTGAGCCAAGCATATCCCGTAACATTCTTAAACGATACAGCTTCTGAATACGCCTTGAAGCAGCCTAAACTGAAGCAACTTACCACAGTTTTACTTGCACAAGCCACAACAGTGATATTCAAATAACTAAAATCCAATTCTTTTGCGAACAAAGTAGGCAACCTACGATTTTATTATGTGATGGTAAAAGGCTTATTATTTTTTACCCTTGTCAGAAATTTAACAATATGATCTTCAAATCTAGCACTTCGAAAACTGTAGGTATTTGGATACTCAAACTGCAGGAGCCATGTTTATCTTATTATATTTAATATATTTAATTAATTTAGATATCTAATAAGGGTTTACAAGCAATTTATTACGAACAAAACTGTCAAACATTATATTTGATAATTTTATGAAAAAATTGTAAACATGTACATACAACCTAATAGCCAGAATAATTGTCCATAATTGATTTTGGACTATAAGGTCGTACTATTTGTCTGCTTTACAATCTTTTTCATTTACTTCTTACAGTTTATCACATTTGCTTTTATTCTAATGGAATACTGAACTTTCAAACTGGATTATAAAATAACAATAAGACAGCAGTTACTCTGAACTTTCCTAAAAGTGCCAGTTCAATTTTTCAAAAGCCTCAGTAGTAACCCCGGAACCCTGGACGTATGCGCTAATTGGCTGCTTTAGTAAGAGGGTAAGGGATAGAGACATCCACTAAGTGGCATCAGAATGCGATGAACTCATAATTCCACGAATTATTACCAATAGACGTGTTGGTAGAGAAGAGGATAGGATAATTAGGTCATCTGTAATGAGCATGCAGATAGTTTGCTAGCAAACCACCAGAGGGTGATGTACATCAACATGTCATCAACTTTATAGTAACAAACAGTCTTAAAATTAATAATTTGTTAAATTTGCTAAACATTCTTTTTTACAGTTATCAGTACTGAAAATCTTTTATCAAAATTACAGTTTCAGTTTATAAGCAAGACATTAAATCTGCTATTTTAATGTCTCATTCTTATCATTATGGTCAATTTTGTAGTTTTTGCATATATATACTTAATTGCTAATTCAGTATTTTACAACTTAATTTATATTATTGTATTTGACGTTTTGTTAATAGATGATTTTGAATGTGTGACACTGTCAAGGTTGTGATTTTATATTTTGTTGTAAAGTATATTCTGTAATGATAAACAGTAAATGCATTGGATTTATAAAATGTGAAAGAATAGTCACTTGAGTTATAATTAAAAGTCCTTTTAAGGTTATTATTGTCAACTATTTCTTCAGTTATAAATTATGTTCATTTGTAAATAATGTATTTGATGCTTTGGTGAACTAATAAGCTTACATGTTACAGTGTACATAAAGTGAAGTTTTGAAAGACAAAGAAATAGAATTTCTGGTTTGTCTGTCTGTTTTATATAAACGAAAACATTATTTGTTTTAGCCTTAGGCAAATACTCACTTGGTTTTACACAAGGGTCAAGCTTTCTCAGTTTGCCATCAGCTGGGGTACATAAAACTAATGAAGCAATAGAATTGAAAGAGTGACTTATCTGTATTAAACTTTCGTTTCTTTTTTAAAGTTCTACAGAATGGTAAAAATATTATTTATCGAGCCTATATACATAAAGTTCCAAAGAAGCAAGAAACAAGCTATAATTAACATTTCGAAAATATCTAGAGAAATGTAAGAATATAATTTTCTACAATAGTAATGGCTAAACATAACTATTTATATATATCCTTTAAACTTTAGTGGAACAAATAAACTTATAAAGCTAAACATGAACTTATTGTATAGTATTAAGAGATTTAAATAAGCATCCTTTTCAGGGTAAATAGATGTTATACAATATATTAATTATAGAAATGAATTAGCAATATGCGTTTTACATATAAAGTATATCACGCAAGTTAAATATAAAAGCAAAACTGTAATCAATACGCTAAATGTGTACTAAATCATTACTTAAAAACACAATCGGTTATATTAATCATCTCATTCAATAAAAATGAAACATTAGATGTGATGAAAACTTTTCAGCGGCATGTTAAAAGTTTTAGTAACATTACCAGCCTATAGAAATACATGTAAATACAGTTAAATATATAAATGAAAATTATAAATATAAATTGAGACAATTTGAAATCAGTATGCAACCCTACGAATTACAGTAACACCATCTGCCTATAAAAATAACATCTGCCTTTGTAAAATGTATGTAATGCAATTAAATATACAAGCGAAAACCATATAGTTGTTCATGATGATAAGAACTAGAAATCGAAATAGCAGATTTAATGTTTTAATTATAAAGTGAAACTTTAATTGTGATAAAACCTTTCCAATACTGGTCATTGTGAAAACGATTGTTATGCAAATTTGAAAAGTTATTAATTCTAAGACTTTGATTGTTACTATAAAATTGATGACATGTTGATGGACATCATCCTCTGGTACTTTGCTCATGAACTATCTGAGCACTCATCATAGATGACCTCATCTTCTCTACAAACACGACCTCTGGTGCCACTTCATGAACATCTATACCCCTCTTCCGAGGCACTCAATCAGCGCGTGCGTCCAGGGTTACTGCTAACTTCATATGTTATTTTCACCATACAGTTATATAATCAATGCTTTAAAACTGTTCCCAACTGGCGTTCAGTTATTAGAAATAGATAACTGAAAAAGTTATCAACAAAGGTGTGAGCGATTTCTCTTATCACTATTTATACCATGAAATTCTACAGAGTTGCATATATGTTTTTGTTGTTTAATGCAAAGCTACATAATGAACTACCTGCACTGTATCCGTGTAGGAGATCAAACTCTGAATTTTAAGCATTCAAGCCTGCCATTGAACTTTCGGGGAACAGTATAAAGTAAATCTTACATTATTACTTGTTTTGTTTTTCATAAATAGAGCCTGCCTTCATCTATTACTTGGCTTTTTTATTCTAAAAATTAGAGTAAATTACTTGGTTCTATTTCATTTGAATGCATTTTTCTAAGCTTTGAAACCAATAACTATATGTGGCTAGAATCATAAATTGCCAGAGACAGCAGATTAAAGTCTAATTGTAGAAAACTTTCGATCATGATTTAATGGTATAGTACTGAATGACAAAAACTATTTAGAAATTAATACACACATTTTTTAATTGGTTTAGAACATCTAGTATTTATGTCTACATACGTGAGTGCGCGTGTGTGCAAGAATACAAACACACACTATAATAAGTTGCTGTTGTTTCTTCAAAACTATGCAGATAAAACTGAGATAGTTGAATTTTACTTCAGTAAAAACTGTTTCATGTATTGCACACCAGGTAAAGCTTTTAAGGTTATGGATGTGTTTGAAATTGAACTTTATGCTTTTGTTTTAATAAATAATCAAAGAAATGTATATCTTAATGACAAATTTTCTTGTACTATATGAAATTAAATTTTTCTCAAATTAATATTTGTGTAAATACAGAAAATAAGATACTAAATAACAGTAATAACGGTTAATTAGTGAAAGAAAGATATTTTGTAAAACTTTTGTTGTTGTTTGTTGTTAAACGCAAATATACGAAATGAGCTATCTGTGTTCTGCCCAAAGCGTGTATTGAAACCCGAATTTTTAAGAGTTTTAAGCCTTTAGACTTACCCGGGCAGATCTGTAAGAATATGTATATCTGTTTATTATGCTTCCTTCAATTGGTAGATGTGAAACGTTATATTAATGAAGAATTAAAGATATTTTGAAATGAGTAAGCGTTAATAGCAGAATTCGTTAAGAGTGTATCAACTGTTCAAAAGCTAAATAAAGATGGTATAAAACTTGTTGATTCCTTCTATAAGATATCCATAATCTTCATGTCACAATACTCTATTCATTACATTTAAAATCAGCCCGCCATTAGGGACTTTTAGAGTTTGTAAGACATGGGTACAAAACCATATGTTCACAACCTTTTGAACCAACTCACTACTGAAAGACATCTACCTATGATAAAAAAGGGTGTGTCTGTGTGTGACCGCCATAATTCCGAAAGGAAAAACCTAGAAACCTGAAATTTTGTTCCCATACCAAGTGGACCTGAGGGTGTGCACCTGGGTATTATTACTTATCTACGTGCGTGCGTGCGTACATCTTTTTAATGAGGCAAGCTATCAAAAAAACCACATAGAAAAGAAGTGTGTGACCACCGTAGCTACAAGGGGAAAGAACCTAGACACCTGAAATTTTGCACCCATACAGAGGTTATGCACCTAGGTATTACTTATTTTATCCACGTGCAAATGTGCATCTTTTTAAAGAGACAAGCTAGCGAAGAACCACATAGAAAAGAATTGATTCCTTATATTACAAACAGAAATCACATACAGACAGACACTCACATCCATGCATGCGTGTCTGTCTGTGTATATGACCATCATAGCTCCAAGAGGAAAGAACCTAGAAACCTGAAATTTTCCCCCCACACTGAGTGGACCCTGAGAGTGTGTGTGCCTGGGTATTATTACTTATCTATGTGCATGCATCTTTTTAATGAGGCAAGTTAGCGAAAAACCACATAGAAAAGAAGTATTACTGCCATAGCTCCAAAAAGAAAGAGCCTAGAAACCTGAAATTTTGCACCCATACTAAGTGGACCCTGAGGTTGTTCAGCTGGGTATTATTACATATCTATGTGCATGCATCTTTTTGTGAGGCAAGCTGGCGAAAAACGCATAGGAAAGAATGTGACTTCCAAAACATCAAGAGCAAATAATTTAGAAACCTAAAATTTTGCACCAATACTAAGTGGACCCTGAGGATGTGCACCTGGGTATTACTTATCTTATTTACGTGCATGCACGCATGCGCATCTTTTTAATGAGGCAAATTAGCAAAAACCACATAGAAAAGCCAGTGTGTTTTGGTAACAATGCGTTCCAACAATGCCTTTTATGTCATGTTGATTAACAACAAAAGTATATAGGTTATACGTTTATGCTAAAAATGGGTTCAGAATACACACACTATCAACCTAAAAACCAGAGCAAAGCCGGGTACTTTCACTAGTAGGTAATAAAAGTGGGACATTCATTACTCTTGAACAAACCTACCATTGCAAGACATAGGTATCAAATTAACATATTCAAACCAGCCAGTGTAAGACACAGGTATCAATCTAGTATAATAATTGTTTGAACCAACTCACCACTGCAAGACATAGGTATTAAATTAGCATATTCACTATCTTCTGAATCAACCAATCAGGCCTATATCATATTGTTGATATATATGTCTCAGCAAAATGTATGTCCATATGATTTTCACATATGACTAATTTCTATTTTTTAAAACTTTTTGTATTGTAATTTCACCTAATAAACAACTATTTAATAAGCTGTAAAGCTTCTAGATTAATAAAACCTTAATTTTAATGAGGTACTACTTCAGCCTTAAGTTTCTTTTCACGTTAATACATCGATGTATATATGACATTAAAACAATATTCATCATATCCACTACCTATTGAACCAACTTGTAAGACATAGGCAATCAAACCAGCATAATCACAATCTCTTACACCAGCCCACCACTGTAAAGACATAGGTTTCAGAGTGTGATATTCCCTAACGTTTAAACCAACCTACCATTGTAGATTGTAATAGTATTTGTAATATTTGGGTATTAAAGTGACATGTTCACTACCTTCAGGATCAGCCTATCATTGTGGACTTTATGGATGTGACTTTCTCACTACTTTTTCAGTTAGCCAATACTGTCTACCTTAGCACAGTACAAGATAGGTATCACAATGGACTAGTCATTGCTAACTAAGATAAACTTTCATCTGTAAACCACAGTTATATGACGTGATTAAAACAGATTATTCACTATGTATTGAACAAACTCGCCATTGTAAATCTTAACATTAACCCCATCACTGCGAGAATCAGCTAAAATCCTTTGAAACTTTATTACTGTT